TTATCTGTTTTACATATATAATATATCAAATTAATCATCCTTTGATGATCTTTGATTTGACATCTATATTGTATATATGAAATAAATAAATCATATTTATCTTTATAATAATAAAAAATAATAATATTTATTAAAATTTCATTAGAAAAATAAAATTATTTCTCAATTGATATATTTATGTTTAATGTAGTTATATGTTGTAAGTCAAGAAAATATTATAATATAACACAGGTAAGTCGCACAAATAAAAGAGTGTCATACTAAATATATAACAATATATATATATATCTTTATAAAAGGTATTGAAATTTTCAATTACTTTTTCTCATTAATTTTATATTTTAAGAAAAAATTAGCAAGCACCCGTGTAATACACGGACGTTATACTAGTTTTATATATCTATACTTATATAAAAAAACCATCCTATTTACTAAAAATAATATGTAGAAAAGTCAAAGGTAATTAATGCATTCTATTTATGTTTAAAGCATTTTATTTAATTGTTTTATCCCATAACATCGTTTCAATACAACTTACCATGATTTTTCTACTGTGATTAAGAAACAGATTTCACGTTAAAATCTTGTGAAATTATTATTATTATTATTATTATTATTATTATTATTATTATTATTATTATTATTATTATTATTATTATTGTTGTTGTTGTTGTTGTTGTTGTTGTTGTTGTTGTTGTTATCACGCCATTGTTAAATAAAGTTGAACATTGAATAATTTGAATGTAAAAATATCTAAATTGGACCATTCGGTGCATATATAGTTGTAAATTAATTTTACTACAAAAATATATTATTCGACGTATAGTTGGTGCATAGTCTTATAAAAATTAAAACTTAATATTTAAAAGACATTAAAAAATTGCAAGGGATTCGCATATGTGAAATTGGCCATATATGGGAATAATGAAATTGGTATAACCATCAGGTAAACTATGATTCAAAATAACAATGTATATATTCATAACAAATTTTTTACTAT